TTGTTTTGCTTGTTTTCTTCCTTCCTTCTTTCCTTCCTTCCTTCCTTCCTTCCTTTCTTTCTTTCTTTCTTTCCTTCTTTCCTTCCTTCCTTCCCTCCTTCCTTCCTTCCTTCCTTCCTTCCTTCCTTCCTTCTTTCTGTCTTTCTTTCTTTCTCTTTCCTTCCTTCCTTCCTTTCTTTTTTCTTTTCTTTTCTTTTCTTTCCTTTTCTTTTCTTTTCTTTTCTTTTCTTTTCTTTTCTTTTCTTTTCTTTTCTTTTCTTTTCTTTTTTGAGATGGAGTCTCTCTTTGTTTCCCAGGCTAGAGTGTACTGGTGTGATCTTGGCTTACTGCAATTTCTGCCTCCCAGGTTCAAGCAATTTTCTTGCCTCAGCCTCCTGAGTAGCTGGGATTACAGGCGTGCACCACCATGCCTGGCTAATTTTTGCATTTTTAGTAGAGATCGGGTTTCACCATGTTGGCCAAGCTACTCTCAAACTCTTGACTTCCAGCAATCCACCCACTTCAGCCTCCCAAAGTGCTGGGATTACAGGCATGAACCAGCCATATTTTCCCCATTCTTTTACTTTGAAACTACTTGTGTCTTTGAATTAAAATTGCTTTTCTTGAAGACAGCTTATGTAGTCATGTGTCAGTTAACGATGGGGATATGTTTTGAGAAATGTACCTTTCCAGAAACCTAGATGGTGTAGCCTACTACACGCCTAGGCTATATGGTATAACCTAGTGATCCTAGGCTACACACCTGCACAGCATGTTACTGTATTCAACACTGCAGGCAGTTGTAACCTAATCAGTAAAAATATGATATAAAAGATAAAAAATGTAACACCTGTATAGAGCACTTACTGTAAGGTCTTTTAGGCTGACTAATGGCACCATGGATGCTATATTAACCTCTGTGACCTGCACAGAGACTCCAGATGAATTCCTGGAAAATCTGAAGTAATTGGAAAACCATGAAAAGAGAAAGAAATTATTAACACCTTCAGAGCCTACTTAACTTTGAGATATTCTCTATTGTTCCTTATTCCCACCCCAACTGATAAGGCCATTGGACTTTGTAACCAACCTTGGTCAACCTCATGACTCCACACCCTATGACCCCCTCCCAGCTTGCAAACCTACGACCCCCTCCCAGCCTGCTAAACACTGCCCTAAACTGTAACTTCTGTAACTTTCCACTGCCCATGCCAAACCTATAAAACCAACACCTATCCCACTGCCCTTCGCTGACTCTCTTTTCAGACTCAGCCCACCCGCACCTGGGTGAATAAACAGCCATGTTGCTCACACAAAGCCTGTTTGGGGATCTCTTCATTCAGAGCATGCGTTTTAACACTTACCGTGAATGGAGTTTGCAGGACAGAAGTTGCTCCAAGTGAGTCCATGAGTGAATGGTGATTGAATGTGAAGGCCTTGGACATTACTGTACCCTATTGCAGACTTCATACACACTGTATACTTAGGCTACACCTACTTTGTTAAAAATAGTTTTCTTTCTTCAATAATAAAATAACCTTAGCATACTATAACTTATCTACTTCATACCCTTTTCAATATCTGAACTTTGACTTTTTTATAATAATATTTAGCTTAAAGCACGTATTGTACAGCTCTACAAAGTATTTTCATCTTTTATATCCTTATTCCATTTTTTCTATTTTTAAAATTTATAATTTTTTTGCTGATTTTCAAACTTATTTGTTAAAAATGAAGTGACAAACGCATACATGTGTCTAAGCCTCTACAGGGTCAGGATCATCAGTATCAGTTTCCCACCTCCACATCTTGTCCCACTGGAAGGTCTTCAGGGGCAGTAACATGCACGGAGCTGTCACCTATGATAGCAATACTTTCCTTGGGAATATATCCTGAAGGACCTACCTGAGACTGTTTTACAGTTAACTATTTTTTTTTAAGTAGATTTACACTCTAAAATAGAAAAAAAAAAAAAAAAGGTATAGTATGATATACACATAAACCAGTAGCATGGTCATTTATTATCATTATCAAGTATTAGAGACTGCACTATAATTATGTGGGCTATACTTCATATAACTACTAGTAGATTTGTTTACACCAGCATCACCACAGTCTCATGAGTAATGCTTTGTGGTGCAACATTATGACAGCTATGACATTACTAGGCAATAGAAAATTTTTAGCTTCTTTATAACCCTATGGGGCCACCATTCTATATGCAGCCTGTCATGGACTGAAATGTCATGATATGGTGCATGACTGAGACTTGAGCTTGGTTTTTTTGTACAGGTTGATAATTGCCTTTTAATTGGTGTGTTTAATTCATTACATTTAATTATTGATATGATTGGATTTACATGTGCCATTTAACTATTTGTTTTTGTATGTCCCATGTCTTCTTTCCCCTATTCTCTTTTGCTGACTTCTCTTGTGTTAAACATCTTTTTTTTTTTTAAGTGTGAGACATTTTAAGGCCTAAGTTATTTTATTAACTATTTCAAAATTTAATTTTCTTAGTGGTTACTCTAGGGATTACAATATACATCTTATCACCATCTACCTTAGCTTAATACTGGGAATTTTCAAAAATATAACAACTTTGTTTTAATAGCTCCATTTTCCATTCTTTGTGCCATTAGTGCCATATTTATTATACCTATCTATGCCATAAATCCAACAGAACAGTGGTATAGTTGTTGCCTTATGCAATCATAAAACATTTAAACAAACATTTAAACTATTTTATATTAACAAATGTATGTATATGTCATATGTACTTATATATATCTATAAATATATATTTAAGCAGAACATTTAAAACAAGCTCTAATAATAAAAGAGAAAGAAACTGTTCATACGGTCTTTTATGTTAATCCACATATGTATCATTTCCATTGCTCTTCATTTCTTTCTGTGGATTCATTTTCTGGTATCATTTTCTTTCAACCTGAAAGTCTTCCTTTAGTATTTCTTATGGAACAGCTCTGCTAGCTGTAGATTTTGTTTTTGTTCATCTTTCTTTTGAGGCAGAATCTTGCTCTGTTGCCCAGGCTGGAGTGCAGTGGCATGATCTTGGCTCACTGCAACTTCCACCTCCAGAGTCCAAGTGATTCTTGTGCCTCAGTGTCCTGAGTAGCTGGGACTGCCAGTGACCAACACCATGCCCGGCTAATTTTTGCATTTTTTGTAGAGTTGTGTTTCACCATGTTGGCCAGACTGGTCTCAAACTCCTGAGCTCAAATGATCCACCTGCCTTGGCCTCCCAAAGTGCCAGGATTACAGGCGTGAGCAGCCGCACCCAGCCTGTTTTTATATATCTTTAAATGAATTTATTTTACCTTCATTTCTGAAAGATATTTTGCTGGACATAATATTTTGAAAGATATTTTGCTGGACATTGGTTGACATTTTTTTTCTTTGAGCCTTTTGAATATGTTGTTCTACTGCCTTTTGGTCTCCATTGATTCTGATAGAAACTCACTGCTAAATACATTGTTCTTGTGTACATTGGAGTTATTTTTTTCTTACTGCACTCAAGATTTTTAAATTGTCTTTGGCTTTTGGCAATTTCACTATGATGTACAAATCTTTTTGTGTTTTTCTTACCTAAGTTTGTTGGGCTTCTTGAACCCGCTGATTAATGTTTTTCAGCATAGTTGGGAAGTTTTCAGGGCATTATTTCTTCAAAAAAATTTTTTTTAACTTTTCCCTCCTCTCTGCCCCTTCAGGACTCCTATTTTATGTATGTTGGTATGCTTGATGTTGTCCCAGAGGCGTCTGAACCTCTGTTCATTTTTCTCCAATCTTTTTACCCTGTGTTCTTTAGAAAGGATAATTTCTTTTTTATTCTTCCCTTTTTAAAAATTTTTTTGAGATGGAATTTTGCTCTTGTCACCCAGCCTGGAGTGCAGTGGCATGATCTCACTGCAACCTCCACCTACTGGGTTCAAGTGCTTCTCCCGCCTCAGCCTCCCAACTAGATGGGATTACAGGTGCCCGCCACAATGCCTGGCTAATTTTTTATATTTTTAGTAGACATGGGGTTTCATCATGTTGGCCAGGCTGGTCTCGAACTCCTGACCTCGGGTGATTCACCTGCCTTGGCCTCCCAAAGTGCAGGGATTACAGGTGTGAGCCACCATGCCTGGTCACAGAAAGGATAATTTCTACTGATCTATTTATATCTATAGATGTGAGATGACAGAAGGAAATAATCAGTAAGTTCAGACTCCTGCTGTTCTTGTATGACATTTGAGCAGGTTTCACGAATAGACCCTTTTTAGTTTATTATTTGTTTTTGGTTGATTTCCAGTCCTAAAATACTTGTTTAAACAATTTTATACTTATTTTTTAAATTAAATGCCTCATGAATTTGTGTGTCATCCTCATGCAGGGGCTATGCTAATTTTCCCTGTATCATTCCAACTTTAGTACATGTGCTGCTGAAGTGAGCAAAACAATTTTATACTTTTATATTTGTTTTTGGGGGAGAGGATTGGTTCACCCTTTTAGGCTTCTCTAACTTGACGTATGATCTCTGGTGTGTTTATAGTTTTTTTAAAAAAATGTTTATACTTGGAATTTTCATTTTGTATAATCAATTGCTTGAGATAAGCATCTAACTTTATTTTTCTTCCTAATGAATAGATAATTTGCCAAACAACTTCTGGCTGATTGACTGCATACCCAGCTTCAGTCTGTTTGTGTATATAATTTTTGGATGAGACTAATGTTTGAGTATGTGTGTGTATGTTGGTGCAGCTGTGGAAGAAAACAAATGACATGTATGTCCTCAAAATAAAATGAATCACCTCAAAATATTAAGATAAGATGGAAGCATTTGTATGCAATGGATGAGATTAATCTGTGAAGACATCCCAGAAATTACCAGTGTTTAGATTGTTATTTGTGATTGTGTTGTGCCTGACTTTGAACCATTCATGACTCTACATGCTTGTTTTTACATCCTGTCTACATCTTTTCCTGTATCTAATCTTAGTCCAACATTTTGATTTTAGCTTTTCTGCTATTTTGATACACTTGGCAACAATGTGGGACCCTTATTTAAAAGTGCAAGTGTCCTTATAAAAGAGACCCCAGAAAGATTCCTAACCCCCCTTACCATGTGAAGACACAGAAAAAGGCAGCCATCTGTGATCCAGAAAGCAGACCCTCACCAGATACCAAATCTGCCAATACTTTGACTTTACACTTCCAGCCTCTAGGACAACAAGCAACTAATTTCTGCCTGTTTAGGAGCCACCCAGTCTATGGCATTTTGTTATAGCAGCTTGACCAGACTAAAACAATGACTCGTATATAAGGAAAATCAACGTTTAGCAAGTCATTTTTATGGCAATGACCCCTCACTCAAGGATATTCAGCAGATAATTGCAGAAGGATATAGGAACTCACCTCTGTCTGCAACAGTTCTGAAAAAAAATCTCTTAAACATCGCAATTCAAGATGATGAGTTTTCTTATTGAAGATGGCCATTCCTTTCTAGAGGACCAAGAACTTCGCTTTATTGCTGGCAGCATGAACTGCTCATGGTAGCATGAAAAAAACAGAGTCCTGAGTACGAAGTAGAAAAAAGGAAAGAAGTCATGGCTCAGTTGGTAAGTCTGGGGCTTTTGGCAAATTCAACAGGAGGATGTGTCCTGAAAGAGAAATGGGCTTCATTTTAGGTAGGTAAGTATATCTCCACAGTAATTAGAGACAGAGTACATAAAGCACATCGTATGACGTAGGATTCAATAAATGGTAGTTATCAATATCTTCATTGTTATAATCATATGATAGTTATTTTGTGATATAGCTAAAATAAAAAAAAATTAAGAAAACCAGCCACCCCTAAATGAAATGTTAGGGTGAAATTCCAGACTCTGAAAAGCCAAGTCCCAGATAGAACCATAATGCAAAACCCCCGTATGTGGCAGTACTGTGCTGAGAGGTCAGCCCTGCCTGGAAGCGTCACCTACCTTGTCAGTTGCACCATCACTGTAGTTAGCTACCTCATGCTGGGGGGTTTTTCTATGGCATACAGTAGGCCTGCTGAGAGAGTCTTTGATGCTATTTATTTGGGCTGATATAAGATCTATGGCTGCTTACATGGGCAACATTTCAGGGGTAGCACACAGGCTTTGAGATCTGGATCCAGCATGACTCATCTCCTAGCTGTGTGAGCTTAGCAAGTTGCTTTATCCCTCAAAGACACAGGTATCTTATCTATAAAACAGGGATGATGATACTTTGCAGGGTTTTTGTGAAAATTGGAGATAATATGTAGGAAGTGTTCAGTACGCTACAAGTGCTACATAATGGTATTATTTAAACAGTTCAACAGCATCCATTAATGAGCCCTATCTTGGAGGTTTTACTTGAGGATTAAAAGAAAACAATATGTAAAATACCTAGTACATAATAGACTCTTAATAACTGGTAGACTGTTACCTAAATTTCAAGGAATACAGTTTTCAAATGGACTTCTTTAAGTGTAATTCTCAATTTGTAGTTAAGAGGCTTGGGTCTTGGATTTAGAGCTAATTAACTGTGTACTCTTAAGCAAATCACTCTGGGTCTCAGTTTCCTCACTCAAAAATTACATATTTGCACAAATGAGAAACAAAGTGTCTTTTTTTAATAAATTGAAAAGGAAAGTTTCTTTATGCTTAGCAGGGAAGGAGCTTTGGAACACTAGGGAACATTTGAGAAGGCTAGCTTAACACTACTAAGTTAGGGTCATTAAATTTTCAAAATGAATGAATTCATTACAAATAAGAGAGGAAAAAAAATAGTTTATGTGTAGCCAAGTTAATTCATTCAGACACATTTGCTGTGCACCTGAGTCTTGAAGAAAAGTCTTGTTCATCTGAGCTCTTCCAAAAGGGATTTTTGATGAAGTCTTACATGTTTTGCTTTCTTCTCACATCAAAACATTCTACATACTTTGAATTTAGATGCAGCCCTTTTTTCTGGTATTAAGGAAGCAGTGAATACATCACCATCAGCCTTCTTTCTATCAATATGAGAGACCTACCTGCTGGGTTTTTTTTTTTTTTTTTTTTTTTTTTTTTTTAATAAGAAGAAGAACACCTTGTTTTGCCAGCCAAAAGATTCAGCTTACCTTTAAAGAACCTTTCCTCTTAATTAAAAAGCTATTAATGACATACTTTGCAAAACACTTCTTTGAGTTAAATATTGGTGTTTGTGGGGGAGGGGTGTGGGGAGAGGTTGGTGAATGAGAAAGCTCTGCTTTGGGGATTTTGATACAAAAACTATTAAGGGATTATGTGGTTGCCTAAGCCAGTGCATACATTTGTTATGATCCATTTATTTGTTCTGGTATGCTAAGTGCCTGGCACATAGTACAGGAAGCTGCTAAAATGTTTGTCGAATTAGTAAATGAATACGAAAAATGTCTTTTCATAGTGTCCAATAAGGAAAATAGCATAAATAAACTTTAGTGTGTTTCTGTTAGATCCCATTTGTATAGCATTTAATTGGGCAGAGCACATGGGCTTTGGGAAATTGGGTTTAGGAGCAGTCAGGGAAGTGGGGAGACTGGCTTAGCACCTGATGGGACCTCTTCCTTCAGACAGAGGAAGGGATGGAGTAGTGTGAGGAGGTTAACAACCCATTGCTGTGGGCTTAGCATTCAGTCTCCAGCCCAAACAAGGCCTGTTGGCTTCCTCCAACTACAGTTGGGAATTGGGTGTGCCTGTGTGGGGAGGATGGGTAGCAATGGCTGAGCCTTGCCTGAGTTATTGGAAAGAAGCAAAGGTTGCACAAACAAAAATGCTGAGACTAAAAATGTGTTTATATATGGTATGAAGCAAGTGAATGACCCTTACACTCACATTTGGTACTTGATGCCACTTTTTACGAATGATGACTTTTCATATTGAAGATGCCCCTTCCTTTCTAGAGGACCAAGAACTTCGTCTTGTTCCTGGCAGCATGCACAGCTCATGGCAGCATGAAAAAAACAGTCTTGAGTATGAAGCAGAAAACAAGTAGACTAGAAATCATGGCTCAACTGGTAAGCTGTGGGGCTTTTGGCAAATTCTTTAACCTCTCCAGGGCTCTGCTACAACATCTGTAAGGTGAGGCATTTGGACTAGGGGATCTTTTTTATTCAGCAACATAAACTGTGCTGGGTGCCAGGCAGTGGATCTCAAGTTGAGTCACACACAGTCCTGATTCACATCCTGGCTGATAAGAGCTGGAATTAAAAATACCAGCAGACACACAGGAAGGAATGATTCATTCTGTTTGCTAGGGCTTGGGAGATAATATTTGAAAAGTATGAATTCCCTAGAAATTTATTAATTTTGTCATCATTCATTCGCTCATTCAACAAATGTTGACACTGTGGCAACTGTATACAAGGGTGCCTATTGTCTATGAAGGGTGGGGGAAATAGTCATGAAAAAAGCAGACAAAATCTTTACTTTCTTTCAGTTTAATGTAAGCCGAAAGTGCTAGAGGTTGGGAAAAGGTACTATTAGTATTTAGCATTGAATCAATATTAATATTGTTTCATTTCATTCTCCCAGTACATCCACAAAGAAGACAGTACCCTCATTTTACAGTGAGAAGCCTGAGGCCTAGAGGAGTGAAATCATTCACTGAGCTCATACTAAGTCATAAGGACTCAAGCCCACCTCTGCCTGTGTTCAGAGTTCCAGCATTTACCTATATTACAATTTTATGGCCATTGGGTGAGTGAATACTTGTTTTGCCTTCCCAACACTCCTTCTTTGAGTAACAGTGCACCTGTTTTCCTCTGCAGAGCTAAGCCCTCCTGCTCTCAATTCTCGTCCCTCCTCCCACAGGTGTCAGAGGCAAGGTCATGGGCCTGATGTATCAGACCACATCCTTCTATGCACAGTGATTGGCCCAGCCAGTGATGGGCACATGACCAAGCTGCACCGAATGGCATCAATGCCTGGACTCTTGCTGGAAATATTGAAAAAGAGTCTTGTTTGTTTCCCCTGGGATTGTTAAACTGTAGACTGTAAGCCTAGAGTAGTTGATGGCCATCTGAGAGAGACTGTAAGCCTACCGTAGCCTGATGTTTTGCAAAAGGGGTGAGGGAGCCTGCCTGAAAATGAAGGTAATAGAGAAGTATATTAATTTGTTTTCACATTGCTATGAATAAATACCTAAGACTGTATAATTTATAAGGAAAGAGATTTAATTGGCTCATGGTTCTTCAGGCTATACAGGAAGCATAGGATGAGCATCAGCTCCTAGGGAGACTGCAGGAAACTTCCAGTCATGGTGGAAGGTGAAAGGAGAGCAGGTGTGTCTCATGGTCTGAGCAGGAGGAAGAACAGAGACTTGGAAGGGAGGTTTTGTTGTAGGACTTTTTCCTTAGTTCAGCTAAGAGCCGGGTTCTTGTCACATGCCCATGAGAGACCAGGCTTGCAGACACTTTGAAGGGCAGGAAGAAATGGAATTTATTGGGCAAAAGGGAAAAAAAGCAAGACAGGGACCCTCCACAAAGCCAGAATCCTGCTAGTGTGTTTCCTGCCTCGCAGACTGAATCCCAGTTTTCACCCAGAAAGAAGAGGGGCCGGGCTGCTCCCTGCTGAAAACAGCGTGAACTTCCCAAGGCTCCACCCCAGCGCATACTCCTTCCAGTGTGCAGGCCACTTGGAGTTTCTTTTGGGACTCCGTTACACTTGGCTGTCTCAGTTTCACACACTTTTAAATGACCAGATCTCTCAAGAACTTGCTCACTGTTGTGAGGACAGCACCAATGGGATGGTGCCAAACAATTCATGAGAAATTTGCCCCCAAGATTTAATGCCCTACCTCCAGCATTGGGGATTACAATTCAACATGAGATTTGGGTGGTGACACACATCCAAATCACATCAAGAGGAAGGCAGAATCAGAGCAACAATTTCCAGAAAACATTGGATCTAATTTTGCCTGAAATGGGCACTTATTCCTATGCTTTCAGTTCTATGAGCTAATACATTATTCTTTTTCCTTTTAAGATGTCTGGGTTATTGTTACTTGAAACCAAGCGGCTGGAAGAATATAACCTCCAAGAGAGTGCAGAGAATGTTTATTTCTCTTTCTCCCTGCAAAAGTCGGTACCCACAAAAGTCTCTATCAACTTCACTTAAACTTTCCTTCATGGAGGTAAACAGTGCATGGTTTTTGGCTCTACTGTGTCTCAGAACTCTGTCCCCAGGGCCATATTTCTGTACACCTGGTGATGCCGGCTTCACATGCTCAAGTATGGATTGGGTAGCCTCCTGATTGAATGTTAACCAACATCTCTCCCTCTGTCCTCTCCAGGGCCTCTGCTATCCAGTTCTGGCTCCTTTTCTCAGGAGACAGAGTTTGTCTGGGGTCATGCTGTGACCCCAGACAAGCTCTGTCTAACATTGAGGATGTCATGTTCAGAGTCTGTATGACCTGCTCTATGCTGGCAGCATGAATGAAGGCTGAGGATGACCGGTCCTCATTTCCAGTAACGTTTTTTCCAGACTCAGATTCCTAGAATCTCCCCTTTGGATAGCCTGCTGGATGTAGCCTAATCTTTATAAGCTGAGCGTCAAAGGAGCCCTTCACTATCTTTTTATTAGGAATGAGAGAG